TAAAATTCAGACCACTTAATATCTAGATACTTTCTCGTTCCTGGTTTTGCGCGATGACGTCGCGCAGCTACCTTATTGTAAGTTCTGTAACAGAACTATTTACAGTAAATCATAAGGCAAGACCGATTTAATTATGTGGTTCACATTACATTCCTCACTCAAAGATAGGGGAGAATAAAAAGAAAGCAAGGTAAATCACATAATTAAATTGGTCTGGTCTAATAGAAAAAATAGCAATTCCAATACAAACTACACATTATGGCCGCCAGGAAAGCAAGTAAGTTCTGTAACAGCAATATAAATCATGATAATTCTAATGCAAACTAACACATCTTAACCAAATATTGTAGTCACTAAAATAATGAATAAATTTTGTAATAGAATTACTGAATTATTTATAGTAGCTTATGATAGAAATCATAACAATCCCAATATGAACCAATTCAAACTTAATCTCATATTATGGTTGCTAGAATAACAAGTAAGTTCTGTAAGAATGTTTTACAATAACTCACTAAAGAAATCATGATAATTCTAATGCTATCTAACTCAATCTTAACTTACAGTAGTTTACTTTAGAGATTACGATAAATTTCAAATGTAAACCAACTCACCTTAACTATATATTATGGTCACTAGAACAACAAATACTGTCAGTACATCATGTGAGAAATCATGTTAATTCCAATTTAAACCAACTCACTTTACACATATTATATGATCACTGGAATAGCGTGCAAGTTCTGTGGCAAAATTATTTAAGGTAACGGTAAAATAAATTTCTATTGGTCAGTATATTGTACGTAGAGGTGCAGGCATTTGGATTTTTAGGATGTTTGTCATATAAGTAGAAGCTTATGTCGTATGCTGCCATTCACCTTAATTTAGTGGGCGAGTATAATAGATGGATTAAACAAGTGATCCATATTTATAAATACTTATTTATTATTAACTAATACTCTTCAGACTACAATTCTATTCGGTTAATGAGTATTACTCGAAATAACGCCACTTCATCTAATTAACTGACGCGCGCTATTTCGAAATAAGAGAGATTTTCTAAATTCAATATAGTCAACCTTCAATAAATGCACGTTGTTGACTAAAAAATATATTTAAAGAATATTCATTTATGGAGAATAGTCTACATATAATATTAAATGAGTGCACGAGTGTGAAAACCTAAAACTTATCATTATATACAGCTGCAGGTTTTCACACTCACGCATTCAAATAATTAAATTACGTAAACTGATCAAATTATGTGCACAAATTATTGTAGGGAATATCGACTGTATATCATTTATCGCAACAATAACGCTCACGAGCGCTTATACAGTACAATAAATTTTTAATGATATATATATATATAATATTTGACGATGATTATTAAGACAAAAGTGTGCATAGTAATAAAGACAACACGTTTAAAGCATGGTGCCTGACATGTAATCCCGACAAGCAAAAATGAAAAGATTTTATTGGAGAATTTCAGCTTAGAGCCATGGGAATGTAATTAATCGGATTTCATTTAATAAATTATATAATATTATTAATAAATGAATTGGCAAAAGAGGATTTGGTTATGTATATTTGGCAACTTGGTTAGATGGTATACAAAAATTTGATTATCTGAAATTTGATTGTGGCATACTACATCAACTATCCCACAGCAATAAAACTTCAGGTACAGTAGTATGTCACAGCCGTAATGCCGTAAATAGTCACTATGAGAAATGTCTGCATCATTAATTGTATGTGATCGTTGCATTGGTCGCATGATTTGATCGAAGATTCTTATTGGTCAGCATATTAAAGAAATTAATGACACGGCCGGGATATGAGAACCGATTATATAAGTTTTGTATGGTTTAATGCGAATACTTAATAAGTATCGAGAATTTTAGTAAATAGATAAATTACCTTATTCCACCGAAAATAAGCACCTCTTATATAATAGAAATAAGTAACTAAATATCAAATCATTCAAATATTAGTTGAGGTTACACCCGAAAATAAGCAACCTTATAGCAAAAGAGTGCTTATTTTCGGAGGAATACGCAGTTTTTGTTTATAACATATGAAGATTCTATTAATGCAATTTTGCAATCTAATAAAAATAAGCATAAACCATATTTTTTCATTTGTTTCCTGTGTATTCTCTTAAAAACTATAGTTTAATTTTATGCATTTGTCCCAAAATACAAAATCACTACATTAAGACCACAGAGTATTTAATAAAAATGGAAACATATTTTGTTAATACCCAATGGTTCAGAATATTTTTACTTCTCTAAAAAGTTTTGAAATCAATTCTTTTATAGCATGTGATGCTTTTTCACCATCATAAACACAAATAAAAAAGATAAACAGAAGAATAAAATATCGAAAAATAACAAAATCTATTTTGTTTTTATGGTAATGAAGCCAAAATAAAGTAAATAAAAATGAAAAAATAAAATAAGACATGTTTTCAAAATAATGCAAAGTAATATACGGAATAAAAAGTGAAGGAAAAACAATAATAATAAATTCAATAAAAGCTTCTGTTAATTTATTCATATTATTAATATATGCCCTTGTTCTAGTCTTTTGATTATCAATATCAGCACGTCTTCTATATATAATATTTTGAAGATCAGCTTCTCTCCTCTCATTCATATCTTGAATAGTTTGCTCATTTAACAATCTTTTTCTAATGGTGCTTGCTTCAACTTCATTCTTATAAATATCTAATTCTTCATTTGTAAGTATGTTTTTAAGTTTACTTTCTTTAGATGTAAAAGAAGGTTGTAAAAATTTATTATATGAAGAATGTTCATAAGATGTTGATGCTTCAACACATGTTGAATGGCCAGATAGATTATTAAAATCATTTTCATAATCTGATCCATAAATAGGCATTTCTTTTTTTTTTGTATCTTATATGATAGTTTTAATTGAGAGAAACCACATACGTACAGTACGTACGTATGTACCACAGAAAGGATACGTTCATTTTTATATCAAAATTCCCTTATCACGATTATGCAGATTCCTATTTATATTTACGCCAGACTTTATATTCTCGTAAAAAATGTTACACTACATAATTACAAACTATAGTATATAGAATTTTCGTTATTATAAACATAAATTATAAAACAAGAAAATAAAATAATATTAAAAATAAAATTATTTATTCTTTCTTTAAAAATGAAATGAATGGATGAGAAATAAATGTAAATAAAAATTTTGTAAACAAATATAATAACGATTAAAATTTTAAGATCAACTAATTATTTGCACAATTATATAATCGACCGTATGATCGATCATTATCGTTATCCGACAAACTCATATGATCATGAAAAACTTTCTTTCTGTTATTTTTTTTTCATGTGTTATGATGTAATTATGTTTTTCCAATATTCAAAAAAAAAAACTCAGCGAGTGACTCCCTACCAATCATGATCATAAATTAT